TGATATAATTAATTTGACTTTGTCACCTCAAATGACTAAAATTAATAATTAACGTTCATAATCCATTTAGGATTGAGGCGTATGTTAAAAATATTTAATTCTATATGGTCATGGCAGTAAATTAAATGTTACGTGGTCATATCCAATAATATTATAGTAATAGAAATACTAGTTTTACAAGATAAACTTTGATGAAATTAATACGATCTTATCAAAATAAAGTTTCCGACTTTATTTACTTGTCCGCAATCAAAATACATTTTATTATTTGTTCAAATATTGAATGCATTTATAAAAATATTCAAGCAACATAAATTAATATTTATTTGTTCGAAACATGTATAAAGTTGAAAATGTATATTTTGGATACTTATCCCAACGGTACTTTTGTTTAATGTAACATTGTTACTTTTAAGTTGTGATTTTCTAGCTAGGCTGTCAACTTAAGATTACAAATTGTAAATTATGTATAAATCCTCGTATACAGATGATTTGTTCAGAGGGGCCTTACAGGCCCCTCACAAGGGGTCGGGCCCCACATGTATTAAAAAAAAATTGTGCGGATCCCCCCATCACCATGTGCGTTGAGATATGTTATCGACATTTTTTTAATCTATACACTAAGGGGGGTTCGTAAATTATTGAAAGGAACTCAATTGTAAAGCACGGACATTGTGATTAAAAGTGGCCAGTACTAGTTCTTGATAACATGAAAAAAGTTTTCAAAATTTAACTTTAAAAATTGGTTAGTGTTGATCCCTTCTCAAAAAGGGGTCAACATTTTACACAAAAATTAAGCCATGTTTGGTACATATTACAAGATTAATTTTTTCATGAATTCCTTTTCAATCATATATATTCTCTCGATAAATGATTTTGCACGTAAATTCATAATTTTTCTCTGATTTTTTAACTACAATTTTAAAAAAATATATTATTAAAAAAATTATATCAAAGATGCTTAAATTATTAAATTAGCTAATGAGCTAGTGCCAACATTTTTTAATTGGGGCGAGACCTTGGTTTAAAAGAGAATCAAAGACTACAAAAGTGTGCCACCCTAGCAGGGATGCTTTTTGTCACCCAATTATTGAAAGAGGATGTCTGTATAATAATTAAATAGTTTAATTAAGTGAAAAATAATTTTTTAACAAATGTGTAGTTAAAATGTAGGAAAAATTACGAGTACACATGCAAAATTGTTTTACTGAGATTACGTGAAGTTAAAAATGAATATGAAAAAAAATGAATTTTATTTTATTTTATTTTATATCAAACAGAGGTTTAAAATCTCTCTTTTTAATTATGTCTAGTTACATATACGCATGAATATTTGTACACATATATTGCACACCTCTTTTACTTAATGACTAAGCAAACTAGGTCGAAAATATCATGTCACAGTCGCGCGAATTGTTCATGCCATTATAAAATTAAACAATCATGCTATATGTACCGAAATGGATGACAAAACACTCACAATTGGAGGCCCAATTTTTTTTTTTTTTTGAAAATTTTTAATTACATGGGGCCCGTATGCATTTGCGACGTTGTCAACCTCCATTGTCATCCATTTATGTACAAATGGAATTGTCCTAAAACTAATAGCGAGAGGCTTCTCACTCACGCATGACTTGTTTAATAAAATGGATCATAAAATTCTAGCATATTTAAAAAAAAAAAGTTAGAATCGCGCTTATTTTACCGACCAACCTAATTTAATAATAAATTTGGAACATTTCATAAAGTTAATAGATTAAAAAGTGCTATTTTAATTATAATACACGAGGTGTGAAAAAGGGAAGAACTTTGTATCAAAAGGGCCGTCCACTTTCCTCACTTTCGTCGAAATAAACAAGTCATGATGGAGTATCTTCTTGCTTTTGAGGGAAATTAGATTCAAAGCCTTCACACGTAAATCAATTAAGCCACTGTTTCTTCTTGCTTTTTTTTTTTTTCCTGTTAATAAATTTTCGGTAAGTCGTGCATCATAATACTACTAAATTATAATAAACATTTAATCTCATAATCGGAGTATGTTGCTAAAGAGGGCGGCAAATGATAAACAATGTCCATTTTTTCGTATTCTTGAATCTGCAAGTACCAATGGAAGGTATCAAATCGCCAAGAAACTTTGATTCCCCTTCTAGCATTTCGTTTGATGATAGGAAAAAAAAAATGAATTTGAATCTAATATATTGTTCATCATAGGAAAGAATTGAAATATTTGAGATTTCATTCTCCAATATAAATGGGTAAAAATCTGCAATTTCCTTTGGCCTCCTGAAGTTCCCACCTTCGAGAAACACCACCGGAGAGAACTAATAATACAACTTTTAATATATACATATGAAATTGAGTTTTTAGGGAGGAAAAGGTTCCTTTTTTTTTCCCCTTTTTTTAATCATTATTGTGACTAGGCCTCCGTTTAAAAAGAATTTATAAACGGTTTAATTTATAAGAAAAAAATGAATAGGGAATAAACAAACTTTATTTGTGAATCTATTGAAATGTGTGATTGAAAATGAAATTTGACAACATATAAATAATTTATAAAGTTATCCAAACAGAGGCTTTATTTGTAAAAAAAAAGGTCATGTCAACGCCCAAAATAAAGTCTTGAACACTAACAAAAGATTCGCATGAAGGTGTGGGTCACATTTTAGCCCATGTTTGAGTCACATTATATTTTTCATCCTCATTCTACTTATTTTCAATCACATATTTTTCAATAAAATAATATTTTACATCACATCAATAATTATTTCTTCTTTTTCAATCACATATTTCTCATCACATCAACCAAAAAAATACATTATCTCCACAAAATGCATACCAAACAGAGGTTTAGGGTGTGTTTGTCTCCCATTATTGAGAGAAAAATAGAGTAATGAATAGTATTTTTTGGAGAATGTGTAGTTGAAATTTAAAGTAACTTTATTGGTTTGTGTGTAGAATATTTTATTGGGTGAATGTGTGGTGGAGAATCTTACTGTATCAAATAATTTTTTGGAATAATGGTGGAGAAATAAGAGCTCAATCTTAACGACGTAGGTTTAGATCAGAAGGAGACGGATGAAAAATGCCATTGTTTTAGTACAGCTGTGATAGTTATATACGAGCCACAATAATAAAGTATATCATTTAAAAAGGGAAACTATAACTCGACCCTTATTTTTGACCGTTGCCCCCCATGTGGCTTCCTTTACAATCTGCACTACATTTATCTCCTAATCTTTTGAAAAGCCCATAGGGACAAATTCCCTACTCATGCTTAGAGGTTTAATCAAAGTCATATAGCTAAACCACTATTCCTTATTCTAAAGTAAAAAAATATATTCTTTTTAAGGTTTAAAGTGATTCTTTATCCATGTTTTTCTCATTATTTTAGTTTTACTTTTCCTTAATTATTGAGTTAATTATATAATCTCGAATCCTTATTCTTCGACTTTATTGCTTTCTAGAGATAAGAATGTTTGGTTTCGAAAATCAAAGAGTGGAAAAGGTGATTCTTTTGCAAAGCATGAAAAGTAGTGCTATTTTGTCATTTCTAAGGGAAGAATTTTGCTTTCATTTTTTTCCCTAAACTTCTAAACCAAAAAAATATCCCCTTTGGGCAACCATTATGTTATAATTATATTATCCCGATTCGATCCCCATTATTTCTAAAATACATTTTTTTCTTCTCTCTTTTTTAATCACACATCCCTCAATAAAATAATATTACAGACAAATTCAACTATTTTCCTTATTTTTTAACAGTACATTCTCTATTAATCTATTATTTCAAAATGCATTATTTATCAAATAATGGGGCTCAAACAAGGACTGAGTTATTTTATTTAAGATGCTTAATAAAAAAATCATTTTTCTCATTGGAACCGAATTAATTAACCATGTAATTATTACATGTCGACATATTAGGAATGTATCCATAATCCATATGGGATGGAGAGAGCTGTAATATCTTCATCAACTTGAAAAATACTACTAAATTTTTATTTAACTTAGAAAGCGGTATTTGTAGGAGGTAAAATCTTCTGATTATTTATAGTGTTAGACGAGTTATAGTTATCGATATCTTATTCTATACCAAACATTATTATTGATTATCAACTCTAACATAAATTTCGGAGTTCCTCGTCGTTTCCTATGTATTGAGGTGCACTAACATACTTTGCAACATTCTTCGTTTTTGAACCTTACTCAAGATCTTCATCGCTCCACAATTATAAACCTACCAGGGGTGAATTTTGGGTTTTGCCTGATCCATAATCTGCCTTTTAAATAAATAAAAATATATTTAAAAGAGAATATTTTTACTTTTAATTGTTCTCTCTCTCTCTCTCTCTCTCTCTCTCTCTCACTCTTTTTTTTTTCTTTTTCCTTTTTATTAACCATGGCATCTTTATATAGTATTCAACATTGCGTAATTGGCATCTGTAACTAGCCAATCAAGCACTTTAAACTATGGGTTTGCTGCTCCAAAACTTTGTTCCAAATTCGAGATAAATTTTATTAATATTGTAATTGTAATTAATTTGTAATTTGTGGCTGATAATAAATTCGAAATCTGTATTCTAAAAATGAAAATAAACAACGTATTCAGTGATGGGATTTTTTTTTGTCTTTGATAATCCTTGAATAGTCTGTTACTAAATTTTCTTTAACAAAAGAAAAATGATAAAATGCTTCTCTCTGGATGACAAAAATTGAATAAATAAATTTGACGTTTTTCGAGCAATTTAGAAATTTTTGCGGGAATGGATCAACATGGTATTAAAGCAAATAAATGTCCTAAATGCAAATCTCATCCATTTATGTGATGGCGCGTCAAAGATAATATTTAAATAATTATATTTTATTCAACTCAACCTAGGAAATTTATCTCGAACAAAAAAAAAGGGTAATGTAAAAATCTATTGGGGTTTCTATTTACAAGAATGAAACCTAAAGATAATTAAACATTGAGGTCCATATATGAATCTCTCACCAAAATGTTAATTAAAGACTATGCATCTATCAACATTTTCAAGAAGCCCCATATCTTGATCGTTAATGGACTCATCTTCAACACAAACAGTACTATCATGAGCATCAAAAGACAGATTCAAATCCAATGAAACACAACCTTTTTCCACCATTGATTCATCAGACTTTTGCTTGGTAAAAGAAGAACATGTCCTTGAACCAATACTCTCAGAGCTCAATATGACAATGGCATCACAAAGACTAACTTCTACACCATCTGCATTCCCTATTCTTCCCCTCTTAATTGCCATTTTTATGCAGGTTTTAGAGCAATAATCTGTGTGCTCCAAATCTTCGATGAAAAATACACGATGAGGATTAGCGGTCACTTCTTGGGCAAATCTTTGAACTGAATCTTCCCTTGTTGTGGATGAAAAACTGCTCAGTAAATTAACTGCTACGTAGTTTGAATACGAACCGAAAACTATTTTTGCCAATTCCCTTGCTATTTCCTGTTTAGCTTTTATATCAAGGCCTTGGAAGTATAACCATGTTTCTTGTTTCTTGTCTTTTCTTAACATTCCAGACCTGCATATTAATATAGTTTCAGCAATTTCAGGAATAATTTCTTTCTGCCTTGGGACCTTCTTCTTCAATTCATTGCAAAGGATATTCAGGTTTTCAGCAGTGAATTCTTTAAACTTTTGCTTGTAATCGTCCGTATCCATCACGTCACTTGAAGAAGCTGCAGAATTAGGGGCAGTAGATGGCCATTGCTGATTCTCCGATGGCTGTGTGGATTCTAGCAATGGGAAATGGCTTAACAGCAAATTAGGGTTCTGTGATGATGCAGAAGAAACGCATAGGGTTGTACCAAACGGTGAAGGTTGGTTTTGGACTGAATCACTTCTTGAATTCCATCTTTTACATATTTCTCCCACTGAGACACAGTTCTGAAATCAAGCGCAATATACGAAAAGGAAAAGTTTATTAGTTTTCACGTTTATAACGTGTACGCAATAGCACAAGATTGGACAATACGATAAATAATGTTTAGTGAAGAATCAAACTTACTAAAAAAGGACGGGATAATTAAGGTAGATAAGATTATAACCTGATCATCAGTATTAAGTCTTTTACTTTCATTCCTAAGCCAAGGAGGCAAGCTTGACAATGTGGGCTCACTGTTGCAAATGCTAGCATGTGAATCTGGAGTTTGAATTTGGAATTTTGGTGAATAATCAGCCCTGCAAGGGAGCTTTTCTTCTCCAGTTGAAAGCAATAATTGACAAGTATCATTTTCTTCGTTGTTGTTTCTTGCCTCAATTTGTTCATTACTGAAAGAAACATTTGAAAATGTCAATGAGGAAAAAAGAAAAAAGGAAATTCAAAAATTTCTACAACTCATTGAATTCTGAATCAGTCTTTGACTACAATTAGAGCAAACAAATTAGATTATCCCTCTTTTATAATTGATTAACACCGAAAATAATGCAGAAAATAAATAATAGCCAAAAGAAATCTATAGACATAATTTAAACGACATGTTTAGCGAGTCGAACTAGACAACGCTCTACAAGATTAAAAAGGAAAATATATTAAGAAAACATGAAAAAATGTTTTACCTGTGAGGATTTAGACTCAATCCCAAACTGTCTGCAGGTATTGTGACAGGATGCAAACCCCAAGCAGTTTCAAGTGAATTATGGCCTGTTCTACACCTCCTGTAAGTCTGAAAAGTCGCAATTCCCATAAGCCAAAACCTTCCAATCCCTTCAATTCCATGAACCAATCTCCCAAGCTCCATGATCATGTGCTCTACAGGAGAGTATATACCAGAACTAACCCTATGATCAAGAAGCCACTTGACATCTCCTAAATACAAAACAACTCCTTTTCCCACCAGACTTTTCAGAAGACAGGTTAGTTCTGTCATTTCCTTTTCAACTTCTTCTCTATGAAGATTGCAGAATGAATAAGGTGGGATACTTATGAGTTCTACTTCCCCCAAATCCTCAGGAATTTCTCCTTTTTTAACCCTATTCATTAATCCTCTAACTACAGTTTCTATATCAGTGACACACTCACCTACTATAACAATACTTTTCCTTCTCCTGTTCATTAAATTGTTGATCACGCTGTTTATTTCTTCATTTTTCACTGATTCGTATGCAGTTGGCTTGATATTGTTTCCTCCAGTTTGATCACTAGTAGGAGGTGATGGGGATGGAGATGGGGACAGGGACAGAAGTTTATTTTCTTTGGGTCTATTGCTTGAAGAAACAGCTTTTTCTACATTTCTTTTCACTTGAGTACTCGAAAACCCAGCTTCTCTCATGACTCTACTAACACTAGGATCATCTAAAATGGAAATTATGAGGTGGGCTAACTCTACTTTCACAGCAAGAATAGGCTGCTGCTGATTCTCGATGGAGCCGCGTCTCTGGTGCGCTTGGGCGCGCTTGAAGGCCGCCACCAGCGCGTTTGAAAAGGAGGGAATTTGAGAATGACGATGGCCTAAAATAGGGCTGGAAGCAGATGCCGGGGTGCGGTTGAGCGCGACGTTGAAGCAGAGTTCGAGGGCATTGCACCGAAGAGGGTGTGAATGGGACTGAAGGCAGGCTATTCGGAGCAAACCGGTGGTGGCCGCCAGCATGGTATTGGCTACATGCAGAGGAGTCACCTGTGCATGTCCGCGCCGCTTAGCTAGCACCACCGCTTGTTTTACGGTGCCGGCGGCCTCAGCTGTTAGAGCTTGTTGCACTGCACAACCTCCTGTTCTCATTCTCCTTTTTTCTTGGCTGTGTTGATTGTAATTATTGTCGATAAAAAGGTTGTAATAAGGAACCTGAAAACGTGAAAGCTAAGGAAAATCTTGTGAAATTTACCTAATTAAAGGCATAATTCTATTGGAATTTTGCAGTATGTATTCGTATGGAAGAAAGGAAAGATTGCGATTTGATGTACAAGAAAGGAAATATACGGGAAATGTGGGGTTTTCTTTTCTCGTCGATGAGTAAAAATTTGGAATCCAAAGTCAAGTTTGTAGTGGAAAGTGGGATGCATGTGCTGACGAGGTGGATAAATTGCACAAGTACTAAATATATTGTTTGCCTGAGATAAAAAAATCTAAATTCTATATATTTGGATAGAAATGGATGGAATTTGTGGTTGAGTAGTTATCGATCCATGAAATACGTAGTTAAAATTAATTGTTGACTTTAATTTAAATTTTAATTCAATTTTTTTAGGTGAAACAGGGGCATATATACATACACATGCTTTGTGTACATATATATCGTGAGGAGAATCTTGCTGCAGTTATTTGTGATCAAGAGCTTCTATTATCGATCTTCTCCTAGTTGATGATGAACAACTCCAAAATTTATTTTCACGTTTATTTTTTGTCATATGCACAACATACTTGATTATGTTTTACTCTACTTCCATTTTTTTTTTTTAATGTAGGAACTCGCAGCCGCTATCCGTCGCGGAACCCTGACCACCCCGAAGGGGCAGATGTCCGATTACTGTAAGTGCGCACTAGGTAAATCCCGTTCCATATGCAGTAACCCACAAACCACACAGAAAAGGTAAACAATACTAGGCAAGCCCGATACGACGGGCTCGACCGAGAAAGTGTTGATAAGAGATTCGAACTCGTGTCCTTTGATTTTCGCGTTCACTTGGTCCACCAATTCGGCCACCCCCGAAGGGGTTTACTCTACTTCCATTTTGATATTATTAATGAATGTTGGAAGAGAGAAAGACAATAAGGGTGCTAAAGATACATCGACCTTATTGAAACGTTGAGATATACCCCTACTGATTCCTATTTCCAACAATCTTATATATATTTTAAAAAATAAATTCCACTAAATACATTATATTCTAATTTAATTGATTAAAAGGCATGGAATGTGTGCAAGCGGCTAGTGGGACTCTGCCTTTGGTGCAACTATATGAATATATAAAGTATTCATAAAGGTTGTAACTTAATTAGATATCAGTCAAATCCAACTTTATTTATTTAAAATATGTGTTGATACTTTTATTTTTAATTTCTCTAAATTACAATACCACCAAGTGGTACTAAAGAACACGAATTTACACCTGAATTAGGATAAACCCAAAACCGGATCAAAATATTCGTACTCTTGTGTGGAAGTTCAAAAATCGAGTTTTTAATCAAAAAGTAATTGGGTTACAAAAGAGTATATAGTATTCAAATTCGAATCCCGTCACAGTGTGCATAAGAAACGAGATTACAAAATATAATTTAAGTCTCACTAAAAGATAACCTATCTCACATATTGAAATCGAATCGAAGTACTAAAAAAACAAGGATTCTAGCTAAATTTTCTCTTTGGACGTGGAATTAACACATCAATTCATATATGGCCCTATTTGATTTAGATAAAAATTAAAATTTTAGTAGATTTTGATAAAAATTGATGGAATGTATGGCTGAAATGTTGTACATCCATGAAACGTATTATTAAAATTAATTTTAGTTTTAATTGAATTAAACATGAACGATATTAATGCTATTATGCGTATAATTATTATTATTTATTTATTTATTTAAATTAGGGAACCAAAAATGCAAGGGATGGAGCGGTGCTGGGCAATGGGCGTCGAACAGACTACGAGGACCTGAAAAGTGAAGCAAGGGGTGGGGACTGGGGCTGTCTGTTTGAAAGAATCGGTAACTGTACGATTTTCTTCCAACTTCAATGAGAAGGAATAAAGAGGTTCCATTTATCTGAAGACTACAACTTCGCATGCACAAGCCTTTTTATTGCATGGGGTTCATAAATTCACAAAATATTTTATTGTGCTCCTATAAGTTTTACGAAATGCGTAATTAAAATTAAAATTTGATTTTGACATTTAACTTATAAGGAGTTCGTATTGAGAGGCAAAGAAGTATCTAGGGGTGGGCCCGGGTCGGTTCGGTTCGGATTGATTTTTTTCGGTTCCAGAAATTTTCAGTTCTTTAGTAAATGGAACCGTCGGTTCCAAATATAATTTTGGAACCGTTCGGGTTCGGTTCGGTTCGGTTCCATACTATAATTAAATTTTTTAATATTTAAAATAATACTACATAAATACACCTGAAAGTAGACACTAATATTAATAACAAAAAGTAGATATAAATACCAAATTCAATCTTAACTTTTACAAATTAACGTAATCTAATTTAATAACATATAAATAATAAGTTGTCAAATACAAATACGAAAAAGTAAATATTACTAATAAAATTTCGATAAT